TAAGAACATGAAATAGCAGCATTGCACCTACCTCTATGAAACCCTCATTTTGTCTTCGCTACTTTTTGTCTTGTTTTTCTTCCTGTTTCAAAATCTTGGCTCGCGGGCGACAGCAACATCTAGCGGACAAAAGCGTCAATTACACCTTTTTCCACCCTCTAAATCAGAGTAGTGGCATGTTTGTTTTACGCTGTAAGAGAATAGATGCAGTACGTTTTCAGGTTTATTTTATTTCCAGCTCGCTTGGGGCTTATTCAGAGTTTACATGCTTCCACAAATAAGTGTGTGTGTGTGTGTGTGTGTGTGTGTGTGTGTGTGTGTGTGTGTGTGTGTGTGTGTGTGTGTGTGTGTGTAATTTCCATATGCAGTACATAAAGACTCATTTTCATAAATTAGAGATTATATTGTATATTGTTCAAAACCTTCCAAAATGCCAACTGGTGAAGCCTTGTCTAAATAGGAAAGTATTACAATAAATCTTGCTGGTATCTTGCAGTGACTGAATTTGAATGAGAGACAAGCTTTGTGGTGGAGGGTCAAATTTAGCCTGGGTTGTTCCAGAGATTTTTCGCCATATGTACATGTACACGTGAGTTCTACTGGTGCAATTTTTCAAACTCAAATCACCTGTTAGCCATATGCAAAAGTATTCTTGTAAAGCAAGTTTAAGTAGATAATTACACTGTTTTTGCATCATAATTTGTGGTATCAATTATTCACGCTCTTTCATAATTGGGCGTCAGTGCCAAGTTTAAGTGAGTCAACAGTGCTCCCTGTTGTCTCCACTGCTCTCCACTACATGCCTCTCAAAATCTTCTCAAGAAGGACAATTTTATTTTGTTCTCCTCCCATTTAGCAAACACGACTAATGCTCTCAGATGGCGAGTGGCTGATTAACGTAATCCAGACTGAAGAGCCGGGGGGGATCAAATGGCGGGTGGGAGGCAGGGCAGAAGATGATGCTCTTAAAGGCCAGGTCATGTGACTCCCTCTGTGAATGTTTACGGTGGCACCTATTTTGGCTCCTTGCACATCGGCCATGTCGGTCCAGCGTCACACTGTGAGAGAGGCCTGGACCCATGACAGGTATGTCCACATGAAATAACAGCCGTACTCATATATCTTTGTAGACAGTTGGTGAAATATTATCCGATCCCCTGATGATTTGTTCTAATTGACGATTATAAGTTTCTTCACTCTCAAAGAAATAAAAAATCTTCAATTTTATATTTTATTGAATGTAAACAGAATATCCAGACCTAAAAAACACAATTACTTAATTTACTTAATTTCCTGCATTTTACTGAGTGAAATCATTGGTAACTTACACCTCGACTCCCACAGATTGGCTGGTGCCCATGTGTCACACAGTGATGCACAACAATCAATTACCAATAGTCTTGATCTCAACTTGCATTTAAAGCCCACCTCTTTTAGTGATCAATTTCTACTTTGCAACCTCTGCACATCCATCCATTAATTTTCAAGATCAGTTTTGCTGAACAGGGTGGCAGGGAATCGCTGGAGCCTATCCCACCTGACTTCGGGCGGAAGGCAGACTACACTCCAAACTGGTCGCCGGTCCGTCGCAGGGCACATATAGAGACAAACGACCATTCACACCCACATGCACACCGCTACTGAGTGGGACCCGATCCCACGCTGCCCACACACAAGTCCAGCGAGTGTACCACTACACCATCAGCGACGACTTCAACATCAAGCATGTCCAACTCCGGTCCTCAAGAGCCGCTGTCCTGCCTGTTTTCCATTTCTCACCTGATTCAAATGATCAGCTCATAGCCAACTCTGAAGCAGCACAAAGTGTGCTGCAGCCAGGAGAGATGGAAAACAGGCAGGACAGTGGGCCCTGAGGACCGAGTTTGGACACCCCTGCTCTACACAATTTGAGAGAAATTGAAACTATTAGCGGCAGTATTCCAAAGTGGAAGCTACACAAAACGACCATCAGTTGGTTTCCGGCTGGAGGAGGCTGAAGAGAAAAACTGCCAAGTTGCATTTTCAGCATGGGATAAAATAATTATTTCGCACTGTACATTTATTTATGAGTCCAGCCAAACTATCTGCATGCTGCTTTTTGGAAAATTCCCACTCAATGTTAACGACACCATACCACTTTCCAAAAGAACTCGCCAAGTGGTGTTAAACCAATAAACGCCAGAGGCAAATCTCTTCCTGTCGTTGCCACGCAAACCGACTTACAGAACCTGCTCCAGTTTCACACGCTGACCTGGTCATTGGGAGGCCACAGACCACAAGACACTTTTGTGTCGAAAATGATCTCAAAAAATGACATTGGTGATCTTGACATAGTGCATCCATTTATCCATTTTCAAAACCGCTTATCCTGAACAGGGTCGCGGGGAGTTGCTGGAGCCTATTCTTGCTGACTTCGGAGCGGAAGGCAGACTATCTTGACATACTGAAAAAGTAAATAGTAGTTGGTTGGTGCAGGGGCCAAGCCAAAACTTATTGATTACGTTACCTTTTTGACAGGTGAAATAGACAGATTCATTTGATATTTTCATTTTCACAGCTGTTTTCATGTCACTTTTCACTGCAGTGTCGCTTTTCGCTGCATTGTCATCAAATAAAAGCCGCACTATTCGCGGGGGATAAGTACCTGGTCTGGCTCGTGAATGGCAAAAAATATTCTTAGAATTGATTTGCTTTTTGGCGGCACAGTGGCACAGTGAACAACTGATTAGCACGTACAGAGGTCCAAGGTTCGCTTCTGGGCTCCGGCTCTCCTGTGGAGTTTCCATGTTCTCCCCGTGCATGCGTGGGTTTCCTCCCACGTTCCAAAAACATGCATGGCATGGCAGGTTGATGGACCCTTGTGAAGATAAAGTGGCCCCAAAAATTTGACAAAAACGCAAATGAAATATTCAGATTCAATGTGTCTTTTCCATAAAAAATGGGGGAAATGAACGGAAGAAAACAAATCGTTTAAAAAAATAAATAAATAAATCCAAATAAGCAAATCCGTGGAAGCCAAACCGTGAGTATGCTTGGGTCCACTGTAATTTGATAAATAACTATGTCACTGAATAGTTAAAAATACAGTTCAATTGGAAATCATGTCATTTGATATCCAAAAATCAAACAAGACAATAAAAGATAAGAAGTCAAGATGGCGCCCGAGTAGGCAGCCGTCAGCAAGTGCTCTCATGAGCCTTGCTTTTTTTGTTGTTTTTGTGTTTGTTTTGTCACTTTGTGTTTGTTGTTACGTCGTGTGGACCTGATGTGGACTTTTTTCAGCATTTTTTGGCCACGACATTCATCAAGGAGGAGACTCTGTGCTTGGTGGTTGCGCCTTCTCGGCAGCATGGGTATACCAGCACTGTTTTTGACTGGGAGGAATGTCGGCGCCAGTTGCTGGACAGTCCCGGGGCGCTTGTGTCTTGTGCCTGTAATGGGCAGCATTTTTCACAGCCCCGCTTTGTTCAGCGGAGAGATCGGTGC